GCTATATGTATTCAGAGTTCACTACAAATGCCTACTGTAGTATGGCTATAGCTGTAGGGTTTTTTGCATGTTAGACTATATTGCTAGTACAGTAGCATACAGCAGTTTGTATACCCTAAATCTCACATTATAACAATATTTTAAAAATGTACAGGAGTTCTACGTTAAGGTTACTGTTAAGCACAGTGTAGGTACCTGTCAACTACTGTCAGAATAGTGTGAATGTCGTCAAAATGACTTATTATATGTTAGTGTAATGACTTAGAAGTATATTTTCTGTTTTCTTCTTGCCTCCTCTTCTTACCTTTCCTCTTACCTCCATCATAATATTCACATCTTGCACTAGATATAAGCTGCCTGCATGTAAAAACAATAGGCTACATATATAAATGAATAAAAAAATAAAATAAAATAAAAAACTGACCGGTCCACATTTTAAAAAATTGTCCAGCCCTTCTGCCAGAATTTCCAGATGGCCAGTCCTCCCCTGGTAACAAATAATAACAAGTTTATAATTTTGATCAAAGTAGTTGCTGACTTGCTGCGTCAGACACTAAACAGAACGCTCCACAGCGCCTCCCAACGCCTAAAGTTATAATTGCATGTTTTTGTTTGCAAGCTTCATTTACAGTCAGCAAAGTGACATTGCGAAATTCGAATTGTTTTTATTTTTAGATTATTTACTGCACACCCATAATATGACATGACTCATTTTCTGTCTAACAGGGAGTGATAAAGATGAAGAGGAGAAGCTAATTCAGGAGTGGTTTACTCTGGTCAACAAGAAGAATGCTTTGATAAGGAGACAGGACCATTTGGAGCTGCTGTATGTTTTCATCATCTTGTTTTCCGCAGTCATTTATAAGACACAGTCTGTTCACACGTCAGCTGTATGTATTAATATTAATGATCCTTGCAGGCAAGAAGAGCAGGATTTAGAAAGAAGGTTCGAGCTGCTGAACCGAGAGCTCAGAGCCATGATGGCTATTGAAGGTGAGCGGAGTCACTTTAAACTAGCGCTGGCTGATGCAAGATATTTCATTAAAAAAGGTGGCATTCGTTAAACACTACTCTGATTAGCTAATAATTATAGTGTAATTAGTTTTCTTATGGTGCAATACATTCACTAGCCACTTTATTAGGTACACCTTACTAGTATCGGGTTGGACCCACTTTTGCCTTCAGAACTGACTTAATCCTTCGTGGCATAGATTTAACAAGGTACTGGAAATATTCCTCAGAGATTTTGACATGAGAGCATAACACAGTTGCTGCAGATCAGATCCATGATGTGAATCTCCCGTTCCACCACATCCCAAAGGTGCTCTATTGGATTGATATCTGGTGGTTGTGGAGGCCATTTGAGTACAGTGCACTCATTGTCATGTTCAAGAAACCAGTCTGAGATTATTTGCGCTTTATGACTTTATTATCCTGCTGGAAGTAGCCATCAGAAGATGGGTCCACTGTGGTCAGAGATGGACATGGTCAGCAACAGTACTCAGGTTGGCGGTGATGTTGACACGATGATCAATTGGTACTAATTGGACAAAAGTGTGCCAAGAAAATATCCCCCACACCATTACACCACCACCACCAGCAGCCTGAAACGTTGATACAAGGCAGGATGGATCCAAGCTTCCATGTTGTTGACACCAAGTTCTGACCCTACCATCCGAATGTCGCAGCAGAAATTGAGACTCATCATTTTCGATAAGAAACTGTGTGTGTTCTAGTGGAGGTTATTTTTTATATATATATATATAAAATGTTATTGAAGGAAGTCAACTGGAGAGCCATGTATTTTTGGTCAAAGAGCCACATGTGGCTCGAGAGCCATAGGTTCCCTACCACTAGGCTATCACTTTAGTGGTCAATTTTGACTGACATTGCTCATATTTCATCCATCAGACTGGCAAAAAACTCAGGCCCAGCAGCACAGAGAACAGCTGCTGCTTCAGGAACTGGTATCACTGGTCAACAAGCGGGACAAGCTGGTCAGAGACATGGATGCCAAAGAGAGAGGGTAAGTCTCTGATTCACAAATTGAGAACACAACCTTACAATTCATATGCACTGAATGTCTTTTGTATATGCAGGGCTTTGGAGGAGGACGAGAGACTGGAAAGAGGTCTGGAGGCCAGACGGAGGAAATTTAGCAATAAGGAAAAGTGTGTTCTTCAATAATAATAGTTTAAAAAGTTAATATGGAACTGTGGCGATTGCAGCAGGACATTAGTGTGCCTTGTTATAACTTCCTCACAACTTCAAGATCTCAGTGGGATATAAAACACCTCCAGAAGTTTTTGCCTAAAGGTTTGCACAATTTTGATGTTGTTTTTTTCTCCCCAGGCTGCACTGGTGTAGAGTTTGGTATTACCCAGGCACATTCTAAAAATGTACCTCTATATATTTTTGAAGACCGTCGAATATATCCTAGGAGCTACGTTTATGTTTTTTGTTTTTTTGTTTTGCAATTTTTGTTTTTTGCAAATCCAGAAGAAGCCGCTGTGTATGCTTTTTGAGATCTCAAATTTCTCTTGCGAGTGCCTTTTGTATCTGCTGTTCTCTCGTAAATCCACCAGAGGCCGCTGTTGACTGACTGACTGAATGACTGACTGACCAGTCGACTGACCCACCCTCCTCCTTCCCTAAACCCAACCCATAATGTTTTATAAAGCACAGATTGACCCACCCACCCACTTTCCTAAACCCAACCGACAAATTTAAAAAGCAATTCAGAAAAAGAAAAGCCCTCGCCTGATTTTTTTACCACATTCTTACCCTTTTATGTACTTGTTTATTTTGTTTTTTGGTTTGTCTTTGTCTTACCCGCTTTCGGGAACCCCTCTTCACCGAACTTGAACCCTGGGTCAGGGTAATCTCCTCTCTGCGTCTCAATTCCACTAACGTACATGGCGAGCTACCTAAACAAACTGGTAACAGCCGGAAAGCCGTCCATACGGAGGTAAGTGGTCAGCTGGTAAGCGTGAAAAGGAAAAGCGTCATACCGCCCCATAGCGTTCGTTTAAAAAATGCAGCCATGCGTACTTCTGGCTACATAATTCACGATCTCCAGAAATGTACATGGGGTACATTTCAGAATGAGCTTGTGTTGCAACTAAAGCAATATTACTTTAATATTGAACAATAAACACTTTTCACACATCTGAATGGTAAACAATAAACTGAACACAGTAAATTGCAGGAAGAAAACGGGAAAATCCTACACAATGCTGCAGATCACAAGAAATCCTATATTTATTAACAGCATTTTTTTGCTGAAGTGAAGAAAATATTCCTGAGTAAATAATAGATTTCTTGCAAGCTACAGCATTTAGGGTTTTCTCTGCTTTGTTATGCTTTATTGTGAATGTAATATTTTTTCACAGACAGGAATAAGCCGGTTTGACTGTCATTAAGGTGTATGGAAAAGACAAAGAGAATTGCGCCAAAGTTTGCTGGTTTTACATTATTTATTGAAGTGTGTTGTTTGCTGGTATGCCAAAATGTGTCTGTCGGGCTGTTGTCTTGCATTAGTTGCAAAATGTGTTTTGAGACGGTATGTGTCTCCAAATGAATGTATTCATGAAATGATTTTGCATTGCAGTGCCTTTAGAGGTTTATTACCTTTCCAAAAGGGGCTTTTTATATACAGTCAAGCCATTCTGTATTTTTCTGTTTTAAATCTCGACAAGTTCATTCAAAATAAGAATGAAACAAATATTTATAGATTGTTTTATAGATGTACAACAAAAGTATTTTGTCAGACTGTACACTTTTTTTGATATGTTAATGTGTTATTCATTCCTATTTTAAGAGTTAGGGTGTTTTATTCAATAAAGTTTGATGCTGTTTGAATTAACGTTGAACATACTTAATCAGTGTTATAATTTGTTGTATGTATTTGATAGTGTTATTAATTAATAGTCCAAAATAATTTAATTATTTTAAAATATTAATAATATTTACTTTTTAGTTGAATATTCTGTCTATAACCTCTGATATAAATCATGTTGGTGGGTAGATAGATAGATAGATAGATAGATAGATAGATAGATAGATAGATAGATAGATAGATAGATAGATAGATAGATAGATAGATAGATAGATAGATAGATAGATAGATAGATAGATAGATACTACTATTAATGAGATATTTTTCATCTTCAGCTATGGTTTTGTATCTATATCTGATTTATCTCTCTAAAAAACTGTTTTGATGAGGCTGCAATGGAAAAGCTTTGCTATTTACTCTATAGAGCAAGATATGAGATATGACATAAATTTGGTTTATATATGGGACTTTTTAAACCTGTATTTGTAGGGGGAGTAAATTTAAATAGATTTGCGCTATTAATGAGACTAGTGTAATTTAATGTTGTTGTACTAGAAATTTGCTTTGATTTTTGTTTTACTTTTAAGACTATGTAACATAAACCCAAAATCAATGAAAAAAGACAACAAGCTGACAATTAAATAAAAATAACAGAATTTAATAGTAATGACGTAGGCTTCAATAATTAAATAGCCTATTTAAAACACCTTCTGTAGGCCAGTTAAATGAAAATAAATAAAATCAAGCCAATTTTTTATACAACAACATTAAAGTACACAAGTAGCCTGTCAGAAATGGTGCAAATAACAAGTTTTTCAGGGGAGGGGAGTCAGATTGTGATACAACACCGGTTTCTTTAATCACAATCAACATGGGATCTTTAATCGTATGCTGTTTTATGTTATGGTTTAACTGTGAAACTACAGATAGACATCCAGCAATGCCTTGGAAAACACCTGCAACTCCTCAGCATTGCGGCCATTTTGTTTTACAGGAAAACCACCGCGTAGACAGACAGTTTATCCCTGTATACGTCAGCTAATCGATTAAAACACATATCATAAGCACTAACAAAAATCAATCATTATATTGCTGGCTATATCTGCACCCTATGTAGAATATAACTGATGCTCGGATCCCACCGGCAGGCGGCGGAAGCGGGTCAGAATAGCGGCGCATCATCATCGTCACTGCCGCACCTGCGCGGCTTGTGGAAACCACAGAGGAGAGAAGAGGCGTTAAGACACACTGGATTGATCTTACGAGGAAATCTGGAAACGGTCCATAAAGAGGCTCATCAAAAACGCAATCCTCCTTTTATTGCTGCTATTCCAGGCTAAATACCGGCTCAGAGTCTGCGGTCGGCCGGTAAACAGTAGGCGACCCAGAGCGCTTCTACCAGCTGGACAAACAATAACAAGCCCTTTGCTGTCACATCATGAACCCTGAATAGTAAGTCGTGTTACCCTGACATACATCCACATTTATGACCGTCTGATGACTTCAGCCAGATTTCCTGGGCAGATGTTGATCAATATACAGTATTTAAATAAACAACAGTAATGTGAAATGTGTTGGCTTCATGGCTGCAAACAGGATTTAAAGGGTGTTTTAATTTTTAGGTGCGTATGTTTTATTACTGGATTTATTGGGTATCTGTTTATTCTGGGACTAATTATTCTGATTAATTTGAGAGTTCAGATTAAATCATTAATAAACAGCTTAGGGCTGGGGGATATTGCAAAAACAATTATCACGATATCATGTTTCATATAATTCAGTATTGATAATTATTGAATATTTTTAGCAATACATTTAGAAATATTAGGATTTTTCTTTTTTGTTATTTAACCACTTTATTTTAATTTAGCAACATTACTAAGGCAAATACTTATAATAGTAAAAAAAAATATTTAAGCAAAATATCTGATCTCTTCATAATAGAATAAACATAATTGTTAAAGAGACTCTTAAATTGGATAAATTAAATATTACAAAGAGTGTACAATGGTGAAGGTAGATCAACATGTCTAAGGTATGAATAATAATACATTAAATCTCAAACTCTGTAAACAAAACAAATTGTTAATCAAATGTGAGGTTTCAATAAAGGAACTAATCATCATTATTCAGATGCTTACTCAACATTATAAATTGTACAACATTACAAATTAAATGACTAATTTACCCCCAATCTTAGCTAAAGGCAGGGATGCACAAGAAAAGAAACCAAAAGCCTCTTTGGCGACATCCTTACATCCTTTTTTATTTACCATCTCCTTACTGGCGCTGTAGGGCACTCGTTTTCTCACAGCATGTGCGCGTCCTGCAAAGTTGCGTGCCTCCATTTGAAATGACAAACTTACACCCTAAGCAGGGTTTCTGCGGGGTCTTAAAATGTCTTAAATTTCTAAAGCTAAATTTTATGACTTAAAAAAAGTTTAAATCTACTGAAATGTTTTGTTGTCTTAAATCTTTTTTAACAAGTCTTATTTTTCCTGTTAATTTTATTTTCTCAGTTTTATTATTATTGTAGACTGAAGTAATTGACAGCTATGTTTTGTTCTTTTTTTTTTGTAAGGGTGGTAGGGTTTGGGAATGGATATATTTGAAAATTAATAAAAGAATTCAGATATTAATATTGAAAAAACTAAATTATTATTGTTGTATTATTAAATGTATTTAAATTTTTCCTTTTTTTTTTAAATAAGGCAAGCGAAAATTCCTTCTAACTAGGGTATACGGGGCAAAAAATCCTTAGTATTTAGCCCTGTATAAGTCTGAAAATTTTATTTCTAAATGACTTAAATAGTCTTCAATTTACCTTAGTACACCCTGTAGAAACCCTGCTAAGCTTATTGGCATTTGTTCCAAGGTGCACGCTCAGCAGCCACATTTTAATAAAACTATAGCACTTCACACCAAACTTTTTCTTAATCGTTATTTACAACGGTGTTTGGTCAATAAATATCGATACCGATTTTAACGCCTACCTCTTTAAATTCTATTGATAATTCATTCATTCATTTTTCTTTGGCTTAGTCCCTTGTTTATCAAAAGTCACCACAGCGGAATGAACTAACAATTATTTTGACATATATTATCTGCAGCAGATACCATTGTTGTGCTGGGAGGTACTCCCCTGCCATAAAGTGCACCCCTCTGAAATGTGTATCTGTTAACTGAAATTAAATGAGAGTGAGGCAAGTTTCATGAATGGAAACCTTCCCTTACAATAAATAAATAAATAAATAAACTGACTTTAAACACAATACCAATGAAACTAAGTAAATTGCTTGATGTGTGGTTTGGTTGAAAACAGCATCTACAATTTTATACAGGTTTGCTCCATTTAACCTATATGTCTGTTTAAACCCACCAAAAAGCCTAACTTTAGGCTGCACTACAGTCACTATTATTATTTTACATTAATATGTGTAAACCTAGTGTGTTTTAAAATGTGTATTACTTCTTGTCCTTGCTTTATCCATCAAAATAATAAACATTTTATGTTTTAATCAATTATAATCCGTTGATATATATTTTTTCAAATGTAGACTGAGAATGCTAATGAAAGGGAGCTCTATGACTGGTGTGTTTCTTGGCACAACACCCTTCTTACCACAACCCAGTACTGGAAAATCTATTAATAATGTGCTGTCTAGTAATTATAATCATGTTTAGGGGGAGGATATAAAACAGCGTAGAATAATGTGAATATTTAATACTGTGTTTCATACATATTTTCGCAGTGACTACTTATTCAAGCTTCTTCTGATTGGAGATTCTGGAGTGGGAAAATCCTGCATTTTGTTGCGATTTGCTGTAAGTATTTCAACAGCATTTTCGCAAATCATTGTTGTGTTCTTGAATGACAATTAACTATTTTTTTATTTTATTATCTAGGACGACACCTACACGGAGAGTTTCATCAGCACAATTGGAGTGGATTTTAAGATCCGAACCATTGAGTTGGATGGAAAAACCATTAAACTGCAAATAGTGTGTTTTTAGACCTTAAAGATTTAACTTAAGTGTGATTTTTTTTTTTCAATGAGAAACCACAGAAGAATTCATTCTTGTTTATGTTTGTAGTGGGACACGGCTGGACAGGAGAGATTCCGCACTATTACATCCAGCTACTACAGGGGCGCTCATGGGATCATCGTTGTATATGATGTTACAGATCAGGTTTGTGAGAGTTTTGAGTCATTTCTTTTTTTTTATGTATATTTGAGTGAAACTGCCTCTTGAACAAAAGACACTTGGGTGGGGTTTTTGTTAGTTCAATGGGAAGTGATTGGAATGTTGTCATTTGCTATTGGCTGATCTCATATCAGTGATGGGTTGCCCCGCCATCACAGCAGTGAACGTCATTAGAAATTATTGATAATCATCATTAGATTTTGATTACAACATTTCTGAATATTGTCAGAGAACTTTTGTTCTGGTTTTTCTTTCAGGAATCCTACAACAATGTGAAACAGTGGCTAAAGGAAATCGATCGCTATGCGAGTGAAAATGTCAACAAACTGCTTGTTGGAAATAAGTGTGACCTGACTACAAAAAAGGTTGTGGACTACACTACCGCTAAGGTTGGTTGGTAGGGAAATAGACTGGTTAATTGCTTGGTTATTCCAAATTCTGTCATCATTTACTTATCCTCATTTTATTCCAAACCCATTGGACTTTTGTTCATCAAAAACCAAACAAAGACCTTTCTGTTTTTTAAACTATGTGAATTGAGTTTTTAATTAATCTGTTCTTCAGATAAAGCGATGTTTCTCTTTAGAAGTGTGGAAATAATCACTCGATCCATGTAGATATGTATATTATATATATATATATATATATATATATATATATATATATATATATATATATATATATATATATATATATATATTACATATTAGTTTTAAAGGAGCGCTCTACTTTTTTTTTTTTTTATTAAATAGGCTCACTTTCCAAGTCTCCAGCGCCCAGTTTTCAAAAAATTTAATGAGGGTCAAACTGGTCCATATTTGGAAATCCCATGTTTTGCTATTCATGATTAACTGATCTATCTTACTCTTATGATGTTTTAAAAGGAACATTGTGTTGGATCACTGTCATCCAAATACCAAATTTCAGGATTACCAAATTCTTTTTTATTCCTGTGAGCCTTAAGCAGGTCACACACCGGATGCGCTGCTCGGCGCTGCAACACAGTGCGCACATGACCGTTAAAAGTATCACAAACCAGACTCGCACATTCGCATGAAATTTAACATTAAACTTTTCAGATGGTGCTCTGTGGTGCGGCAGAAATATGAACAGTGTCCTGAGTCTTGTCTAAGCGCCACGGACAGCTGCAGACAGTCGCCGGCTTGTGGCGACGTTGTGTGTACCCTGATAGAAACCTTTGTTTAGAATTCTGAAATGCATGGCGCTACGCAGCGCGTAGCCGAGCGACGCTTCTAGTGTGTGACCCCCTTTAAATGGAACCAACAGTGTAGCCTAGGTAGGCAAGAGACCAGTGGCCACAAACATTGTATGTTTTAATAGTAATAAACAGAAACACTGCAATCAACAAACATTTGACATTTTTAGTTTGTTCTTTTACAATACTGCTTCGATATTGTTTTGTTGTTTACTATATCTCAATAGATGTGACATGCTTAATATAGGCTTCAAATGTAAAGGAATGTAAATATCATCAGTAACCGTTAAGTTTGTAGTCATGCACTTAAAAAATACTTTCTTTTATTTTATTTATTTATTTTTTTTTGGTTTAAAAAAAATCACAACTGAATCCAGCCTTCTGATGGGGTCAGGGGAATCCTGTTTTTTGGATCAAATAAATTCCATCTGAGTTCAAAGTTTTGAAAAACCCAAAGGGCAGGTTTGATCCAAATCAAGCGTAAGACTGGATTACATGGTCTGATCTTAATTCAAAATTCCTCAGTTCCTTTTAAAAACCCATGTCCAAGAATTTATCCAATCTGTGATCCAAAATCCCACTGGATTATTACTTTAGAAAAACTGGGCCTTGGAGTTTTTTTTTTTTTTTTTTTTTTTTTTTACCTATTCAGCCGATTCCTGGGTTTGATGAGAGCACACGCTTAGCTTAGCTCAGCATAAATTATTGAATCGGATTAGATTATTAGCATCATGCTAAAACGTTTTGTTTTATATCTTAGGTTAGCTTAAATTATTGAATAGAAATAGACCATTAGCATCACGTTAAAAAGGTAGTTTTTTATCTTACTTTACTTTAGCATCATGCTAAAAAAGTTTTGCTTTTTATTTTAGCTTAGCGTAAATTGGATTGGTTTAGACTTTTAGCATTACACTAAAAAAAGTTTTGCTTTTTAGCTTAGGTCAGCATAAGTTATTGAGTCGGATTAGAACATTAGCATCACTCTTAATATATTAATAATTTTACCATTTAAAGCTTTACCATTAATGATCAACAGACTTTGCTGCTATACCATGGCTGCAGTGGGCACAAGGGTATTATGCACAGCCTAAAAATAGCAGTCCCCAGCTAGGGAACAGCATTGCATAATGCATTGTACAGCAGCAAAAATCCTTGATTGTTACCTTGATTTATTATCCAAGGGTCTTACAAGTTTGAGTGAGATGCTAATGGTCTAATCCAATACGGCAGTTTTAAAATGAGCCTTTTTCAAAAAAAAAAGGAAAAAATTACCCCTTTTAAAGGGTCATTTTTTTAAGTAAACAGACTTTCAATGGCAAGAATATTTCAGGTTTGTGTTTCAAATATGAACAAAAATCTGGAAGAAGGAAGCAAGTGATGACAGAACGTTCTTTTAAAGGTGAATTGTCATGTTCATGCAAAAGAATTTGATGTAAAGTAACTAAAAACACAAAATTCTTCTCTCTCCACAGGAATTTGCTGACTCTCTTGGCATCCCTTTCCTTGAGACGAGTGCCAAAAATGCCACAAACGTGGAGCAGGCCTTCATGACCATGGCAGAGGAGATAAAGAAGCGCATGAGACCAGGAGCTTCAGGGGGCTCTGAGAAACCTGACCTTAAAATCGAAAGCACCCCGGTGCAACAGTCAGGCGGCGGCTGCTGTTAGAAAACTCTTGTTTTCTCAGGGAGAGTGTGAGGAGCAGGACGGGACACCGGGGAAGATTGTGTAGAGGTGGCCAATCTGGATATCAATGAAAGACTTTCTCCTATGTGGTGCTCAATAAAGTCAGAATACATTACGGTTGTTTAACATTGATGGCTCTTCCTCCTGCATCTTTATTTTTTTGTCTTGTATTTGAAAGTAAGATTAAAGCACAGGCACACACTCGTTCAGGTACTTGCCTGAATAATGAAGGTGATAATGTCCAGACCACTGTGTTAATAGCCGCTAACATTCATCCTTCTGTATCAATATTCATGATTTATGAACTGGGATGCGCGACTTGCTGAAGTGGTGCCTTTTCTTGTTCAGGCTTTAATGAAGATCAAGTGGTCAGCATGTGAAGCAGTGACTCTCCAGCGTCTTCGTGTAGGGTTTGTCTGTGGTTCTGTGATATTAAACAACATTGTTTAGTGTGTGTTTGTTAGCTTTTCTTTATTATATTTTATGTGTGTGTGTGTGTTACCAGGGCTGTATTTATTGTTTTGCATTAAGGTTTCTTACAGGTATGGTTTAGCTAAAGTATAATTGATAACTGTGCTTCCACCTGCTAATAATGTGTATTTAGTGATCTGATCACAAGGGGTAAGTTGAGATCTTACTGTTCCCACCTGGTATTAACGTACGTAAAAGACATTTCTTTTGACTTGTGTTTTGCAGAGACCCTTTTAATTCACCATACTCTTTTGCTGGAGCGCTCAGTGTGTGTCACTATTGAATAAAACAGACAGTCGTGGAAAATTATCTCTTCAGTTTTAAAAGAAATTGTTTAGGAATTTAGATGCCAAATACTTTGCTGCATCGATCAAGGAGACATCAGCTTGAGTCCGCCGTCTGCTCTCAAACCACAGTACTTTTACAGCAGTTCACATCAGCAGATTCTCCACATTTATTTCCTAACCTTTCTTAGTAATTTATGGAAAGTCTTTATCATATGCATTTAGCAAATAGATTATTAGTCAAGTGAAAACACTTAGATTTTTCTTGCTTGATAATAATGTGTCATTGTTCTTTTAGATGTTTTTACTCTCTGGGTAACAGAAATAGCATCGCTTGGTGTAGTGTATGTAATTAAATGCATATGACTAAGCATGATCATGACAGAATCTTATATCTGGGTAAAAGGTTAACTGTAGAAACATATACAAACTATCCATGGTAATTTACTAGTTTATTTAAATGATCAACATTTGAAAGGGGTTTAACCTTGTCATTAAAGTTATCCTTAAACCAAAATGTGTATTGAACAATACCAGTATATTTACAGTAATAAAACTAATATTTGTTAAAGTATTTATTTATTATTGATTGTACATTAACAATTTTGTTTTATTTACTTAGAATATTGTCAAGGTCATGCAGGGCATATAGGAAATGAGACCTTTTTATGTGGCTCTTAACCTTTTTGACTTTTTAGACAATCATCTCAAGTGGAGTTGAAAAAATTCAGCTTTTATTTTTGTACAGTAGAATGAAACTGCAGGTTTTGAAATTACCAAAGTTTGATTACTTTAGAACTATTTTGTAAGGTATTTTTAGCTATACTACTAACTAGGTTACAAAGATGTACAGTGTTTTGTATATATAATTTCCTAAATGATGTTTAACATAGCAAGGACATTTTCACAGTATGTTATTTAAAAAAAAAACTAATTTAAGGTTTTAGGTTAAAAATGATTAGCCCCTTTAAGCTTTTATTTCGATAAAAACAGATCAAACCTTTTTATACAATAACTTGCCTAATTACCTATAACCTGCCTACCTAATTAAGCTAGTTAAGCCTTTAAATGTCACTTTAAGCTGTATGGAAGTGTCTTGAAAAATATCTAGTAAAATAGTATCTAATGTTATCATGGCAAAGATGAAATCAGTTATTAGAAATTAGTTAATTAAAACATATGTTTAGAAATGTGTTGAAAAAAAATCTCTGTTAAACAGAAAATGTTGGAAAAAATAAACAGGATGCTAGTAATTCTGACTTCAACAGTATTTTTTTAATTGCTCATTTAGATAATTTAAAATTAAATATTTAATTATTCATTTTTCGGTTCCCGTTATCCTAACATGACTGAAGGAATATTCATCCAAACTCCTTTCAATTTGAAAGCATTATCCTTTTGTACTCTTACATATGAGTACATCATTAGTCTCAATTAAATAATTATTTTACAGTAAAGGAAAAACAGTATAGTATAAGCTGACCTACTTAAAAATATGTCGTAAAAACTTATAACTAGGCTATATTTTCCGAGCAATTTAAAATTAGCCTACACAGAAACTGCTGTTGAAGTAAAGAGCACTATTGGGATCATTCCGATGCTTTTCAAACAGCTGTTTACACCTGAATGTCTGCATTTAGTTCATTGTGTTATTTTCTGTATGGTCTGAAGAGCGATTTAACACAACAACACCTAAAGCCAGCGATTAACACGTTTTCACAGGCCACTCCCACTGTCCCAAAGCAGTTAGCTCATCATAAATAACATTCTAAACCAGAACAAGCAACAGACAACTGTAAACTACTGTACCAACTACAAGGATGGAAAGTTGGTGTTTAGATGATCTAAAACCACGTAGGATGGAAAATAAAGATCCAGAGGAACAAGTTGGTATGCGCATATGTAAGTTTTTCTTCTGTTAAACAAACGGGTTATCAAACAGTTACTTGTTCGCATTGACGTACTTATCTGGTGACAAAGTCAGCCTAAATGTACACAAATTGGTTTATTAACTTGATTTAATTATAACTAATGTGAATGGTAGAATGTAGTCTTAAACAAGTTCTGTTGTCGTCTGCTTGATTTAAAGGGGTAGTTCACACAAAAACGAAATTTTGCTGTAAATATTGAAAAAAATGAATTTGTGCATATATAACCAAGGTGTGGATAAATGGGTTTTTTAAAGTAAATTACTAAAAAAAATACAATTATACAATTATATATATATATATATATATATATATATATATTAGTGCTGCACAATATATCGTTGTAGCATCAATATTGAATTGTGCGCATTTGCAATAGTCGCAAAGATATGCAATGTTGAGTCTGAATTATAGTTGAGCAGAAGCTACAGACTTGTATTTAATCACCGTACTTATACAAAATTTATATAGTAATGTAAAAACGTTTTTTTTTTTTTACTTAGAATTTTTGTCTTGTTAACTTAATAGTTCAAATAGTTTAAAAGCAAAAAACAAGATTATTTTACTTCCCCACTGGCCGATAATGTTGCTTGTTTAAAAAAATATATATAATTTTGACTTCTCACAGTGAAAACAAGACAATATTTTACTTACTCTAAGAATTTTTTTTATATTTGGAGTTGAAACGAGACAAAAAAAGTAATAGAAGCCTTTTTTGTTATGCGATTATTTAATTTCTGTGCCTGAATACTGTTAGACTCCTCAGGAAACCATCAAATAGTACTATTCAAATTAACTTGTCAAACTATTCACATCACAGAAAAATAAAGAATCGCAATATCGGATTTTTTCAATATTGTGCAGTCGTAAAAAAAAAAAAAAAAAATATATATATATATATATATATATATATATATATATATATATATATATATATATATATATATATATAAAGGGATAATTCACACAAAACTATATATTAGGGGTGCTTCGATCAGGATTTTTGCATCTGATACTGAGTACCAAGTCTTTGTCATGGTGTTCGGCTGGTACCAATTCTGATGCTTCAAGCCTTATAATGCATGAAGCACATGTTACATCTTAGTATGATACTTCAGTGGAGATCTCACCTTACCTAAGATAATAAATTAAAAATGATGCGTAAAATCCTTAAACATGTCTCTTATAACCATTCAGTGTGGACATGTCATGGTCAGGTTCAGTTTTACTGAAAATAATAGATAAAACAGTTTAAAAAATTGGTAAGAAAAATCACTAACAAAGCAATTTAGAAACTTTGTTCATGGTGAAAGAAAAATTCAACATGTCTTGAAGTTTGGAGCGCATATTTGATGCATAAGAAGTTAAAATGCACACCTAGAAAAATTACATCTTTACTTAAAGGATATGGATCCATAAACTACTGTTTATTACAATAAGTATATTATGATTAGTTATATTAATATGATAAGTTAGAAATATAGTTTTAGTTTTTTTCATTTCCCCAACATTTCCAGCCAGGTTTTAATAAACTTGCAATATTGTTGGAAACAGAACTTTCAGTTCTGATATTTAAAATATTTCAGTTCTTAAATGTCCTCTGCTTGTAAACTTGTAAACAAACAATTGTGATTGGTTCATGAGATCGACCAGATTAGGGAGTACCGATCGAGTCATGAAATGGGATCATCAGCCGATTCCGATCACTCTGTATATATCTATATATATTATGCTTTGTATTATCCTAATATATATTTTATGTTTCTCTCATTATATGTTGTAGTGTTTACATAGCTGTGTATGTCTATCTAATGATAAAAAATGTATGTTTCTTATTTAAAACTTATTTAATTAATGAAAATGTTAGCAGCTACTTTAACAGTCAAATTAATTTGTGCAAAAAACTGAACATTGAAAGTAAAAGTTGCATTTATTATACTAATCGAACATACTGTTGTAAATGATGTTCTTTGAATGGTCCAATTAATTCACTTCATTGCTCTAATAATGATAACAGACACCCACATTTTGGATTGCTTAAGCTAAATTACAAGCATTTTTACACTACTTTTAACCGAATTTTGAACATTGACAGATGATGTGTTTATTTTAGACTCAATCCTGGAAAATCAAGATCTGAATAAGGTGAAGAAGAATCTTTTGATAGACTCAGAGACCGAAAGCAAAAAAACAGAAGCCATAAAAATGTTCCTCTGCCCCCAGTGTGGAAGGAGCTTCACACAAAGACAAAACCTAAAGATTCACATGAGGATTCACACTGGAGAAAAGCCATTCGAGTGTCAACTGTGTGACAAGAGCTTCTCAGATCCCAGAAACCTCCGAGATCACAAGCTCTCTCATTCTGGAGTGAGAGCTTTTGGCTGCGATCTCTGTGGGAAAAATTTCAGGATTTCTTCTCACCTGAAAAGACACATGAGGATCCACACAAACGAGAAGCCTTACTTGTGCTCGATTTGTGGACAGAGTTATTCACGCATGGACCATTTTAAAGAGCACCAGAAACTGCATGCTGATGTGCGACCGCATGTGTGCACTGAGTGTGGAAACTCCTTCAATTTGGCCAGTCATTTGAAGGACCACCAAAAACGTCATACTGGAGAGAAACCTTATAAGTGTTCACACTGTGGAAAAGGCTTCTCTCAGTCAGGATCTATGAGAAAACATGAGAGAATTCACACAGGATTGAAGCCATACATCTGTTCTTCATGTGGGAAAACCTTCACCCAGTCGAGTGCTCAACTGAAACATGTGAAGATGCATTGCCCGATGTTGTCGAAGGGGTAAATACAGTACACTGTAAAAACCAACAGAATAAAATGAGTGTAGTTAACTCAAAATTGACTGAAAGTTAATTCTACTTATTTAAAAAGAGTTTTGAACTCAGTGTTGAAGGTAGTGAGTTAATGAAATACCTCATTACATTAACTTAAATGGAGAAAGATCACAGTACTCATATAGATAGTTTTTAACTCAAATGGTTTGTAGCAATCAGTTTTCTCAAACGGTTTGAGTTGACTTGACTTATTGGGTTTTAAAGTTCTCAGTTGGTTTGAGTCCTCTTTGTTATTGGGTTTTATTGTTTTATTGTGCCCGTTTAGTCCAATGGATTAAGTTCACGGAACTCATTAGGATTAGTTTTTGATGAAATGGTTTGTTGGAATCAGTTTCCTCAAATGGTTTGAGTTAACTTAACTTTTTGGGTTTTACAGTGTAATAATTATACTAAAGTCAGTAATGTCAAATCTTGCAGTAAAGTGTGTTTTTTTTATTGGTTTGGTAATGAAGATGAATTTATTCATTAAAATATGAAGTTAACGCATTTAAGTTGCATTATACCAGAAATGTACATTATCTGTCCCTGAAATAAACACATAAATACAGTGAATAAAAAGTATTTCATCCCAAAATTTTCTAATATGGACTGA